AGTCCTCCTCTCCAGAGCAGCTCACCTCCATGGAAGCACTGCTAGGTGAACAGTTCTCATTCAGATCTCTACAGGCCAGTTTGGGTTAGGCTAATTTATCTGGACAAAACTGAGTTCAAATGACATTTCTTGGCCCTTCCTCACAATAGAATGTACAGAATTGTAAAGCCATCTTACTGTCCCTCTTTGGAGAGCAAGAAAGTCCTCCTCTCCAGAGCAGCTCACCTCCATGGAAGCACTGCTAGGTGAACAGTTCTCATTCAGATCTCTACAGGCCAGTTTGGGTTAGGCTAATTTATCTGGACAAAACTGAGTTCAAATGACATTTCTTGGCCCTTCCTCACAATAGAATGTACAGAATTGTAAAGCCATCTTACTGTCCCTCTTTGGAGAGCAAGAAAAACGTCTGGCCAGTAGCACCTGCTCCCATCGGTGCTTCTGACATGACTGATAGCTGAAAAGATGAGTCATGTCTATGCAGGAATTCTTGTGTCTACAGGCATTCTTCCCTAAATGAGATGACGGAGGAGTGTCTAAAGAAAGAACCCTTTCTACCAGTGCATAAAGTGTGAGTGTATTTGCTGTAGATACACACATGCACCTTGATACATTCTAGTAGTGGGTCCTGTATGTAGGTGGTTTTCCCTTAGGCTATGTCTACACTATAGCCTTTTTGTGGAAAAATATATACAAATGAGCCTGTGTGAAATATCATTGTGCCTCATTTGCATAATTAATGAGCACCTGTGTTTGCTTTTGCTGTCTACACGGCTCCTTTTTGCGCAAAAAAACCCCTCTTGCACAAGAGCAATTTTTCTGGAAAAAAAATGTGTCTAGCAAAAATGGGTGCTCATTAATTATGCAAATGAGGCACAATGATATTTCACACAGGCTCATTTGTATATATTTTTCCACAAAAAGGCTATAGTGTAGACATAGCCGCCAGATCCAGGTTCTTCCGGGTTCGTAGACTGCATAATTTGTCGAGCCCTGCTCATTTGCATATGTTTTTCTGCAAGAGAAGGGCAGTGTAGACATAACCTTAGAGTGATTCTCCAGAGTGCTTTTTCCCCCTCTGACTAGGGGGCAGGGTTGGCCACCAATACGGGGGAATAAAACCTTGGGTTTTTTTAGTGACTGACACAAAGGAGGTTGAAAGGACCTGTGTTGTCATCTCAATGCTTCTGTGTAGCACACCTTAAGCATAGCTATTGAAATGTGATAACAAGTGGGCCTTGGAAGTCATTTGAACAGGATAGGCCAGGACACTAGCAGCAAGACTGCCTGAGGGCTTTTTTTTTCAATCAGTGAGTTAAAAAATGAGGTTCATGCTAGCCTTACAGAATTAAGGGCCGTTGTGTGGTTGTGTGAGGACAATGACTTTGGTGACCTGAGCATAGGCATACCATGAATTAATGCAAAGGCAATACGGTATTTTCTGTGTTATCTATCCCTTTCTTAATGATTCTAAACAGTCAAGTCTGTTGGCTTTTTAGACCACGTGATTTTATATGTATAGTTGGGATTGTTTTCCAATGTGTACGACTTTACATTTATCAACACTGAATTTCATCTATTATTTTGTTGCATAGTCACCGAGTTTTGTGGCGATCCCTTTGTAACTCTTTGCATTCAGCTTTGGATTTATATCTTGCGTAGTTTTGTATAATCTGCAAATTTTGCCACCTCACTCTTTACTCCTTTTTCCAGATGATTTATAATTATATTGAAATCACTGGTCCCACTACAAGACCCCACAGGACTCCACTATTAACTCTCAATTCTGAAAACTATTTATGCCTACCTTGTAATGGTTAACCTGTCCATGAGATGTCAGCCTATGACAGTTTACTTAAGAGTATTTAGTGAAGGTCCTTTTCAAAGGCTTTCTGAAAATCTAAGTACGCTCTATCGCCTAGATCACCTTTGTCCACGTTTTGTTAACCCCTCAAAGAATTCTGCTGAATGGGCGAGGCATGATTTCCATTTACAAAAACCATAGTGACACTCTCTCAACAAATCATGCTCCTCTTTGTGTCTGATCATTCTGTTCTTTACTGAAACTTCAAATCATTTGGCCTATTCACCAGTAATTGCCAGGTTCACCTCTGGAGCCTTTTTTTAAAAATTGGTGTCACATTTGCCATCCTCCAGTCATCAATATGGAGGCTGATTTAAATGATGGGTTACATACCACAGGAATGTAGTTTTCTTGCGCAAGAGGCCACTGTAGACAGGCGACATGAATTTCTTGCGCAAGAAAGCCCTATGGTTTAAATGGCCATCAGAGCTTTTTTGCGCAAAAGTTCTTAGGCAAGAAGCTGCCAGTTTAGACGTAGCCTTGGTGACTTATAACTGTTTAGTTGATCAATTTGTTGTTTAGATTTTATTTTCTTAGCACTCTTGAAAATAACTCTTGGCATGAAGGGACAACGCAGATTCCAATAAATTGCCTCTAAGACTGCACAGGAAGCCTATGGCTAAGCTGGGGAATGAACTTTGGTCTCCTGAGACTTAAACCATCCTTCCTCTCCACAGAAACATCCCCCAGCATTTTGTCCAGTGTGCTTTGGCAGGCCGTGCTTATCCACTTGCATTCCTGTCCCAAGTGGCACAAAACTTATCTTCATAGGGAAAACTAAGAGCTATAGATTTGCTGAAAGGGCCGCCCACATATGCTGGCGAGTTTTACAAATGCTTCCAAACTTGCTCTTCTAGGAGCTGAGCAAATTCTTGCTGTTACTATCCAAATGCCCATACAACCCAAATGCCTGCTCCTTACGGATACTGGGATGTCAACAGTTATATGCAGAGCACACGCTACAGGAAAAAGGGATGAAAGAATAAAACATCCCCTTACTATACCTCTATTCATCAGTACTTTGGTGAGTTGGAGACTCATCCATAGTGGGTGAGTTGTCTGTTGCTTCTCTGAACAAAGGAGTGCGCAGAGGGAGGAAACAGTAAAGAGGAAATGTTAAAGAAAAGAAATGACACACATTGTTAAGAGCTTATTAACACAGTGGGAAAACAAGTTGATGAATCACCTTAAGACAAAAGAGTTAGTGACATAAGAAAACATGTCAGGCACCTTTGATTCATGCTGGGAATTATCAACATGTATTGCTGTGGTGGCCTCTTTTTAAATTTTGTTCCCTTAATGGTTGAGTCATTTTAACTAGGCATGAATCGAGTAATGGATTTTCTATTTGATTCCTTTTTGCATGGGATGGTGGTCCAGACCCTCACGTGATGTAAATCTACAGAGCCCCATTCCCACCCCACAAGGGTCTGGCCTGGTCTTTTTGTTGTGTGAGGCTGGAAGTAGAAGTTCTGATGCATGGAAAAAAGTGAAAAAAAAAATCAGAGTTCTGCCTGGAAACAGGCGACTTCTCAAGTGGTTTCAGATCATATTAATTGTATTCATCATAGGGATGTGCCCGAGGAAGGTGATTACAATGGGGGTTGAGGCAGAATCAGGGCTATGGTTTGGGCTCAGAGCGATAGCCTGAATGGGGCAAATCTCAGCTCTTAACCCTAGATTTCTGCCATATATTGGAGTCTTGCAATATGTTGGCTTCCTTTGAACTGGAACCAATAAAAATACCCACTTGAGTTTTGGACCTAACCCAAACCCACACCTGTTCATAGGGGGTTTGGAGGCTAAGCATGCTGAATTTGAGCATGCTGAAAAGCAGAGGAACTTGTCTGGGGATTGAGAGTCTGTTTTTATGCCCCCATCTTTGTTTTAAATCACAATTTTCTCTTAAATGCCTTCTGGATTATTGCTGCCATAAAACCAAATGCCACATGTGGATGTTGTTGTTTATACTGGACTATCTGCAAGTATTTTTTTTACTCCCACAAAACCAAATATTTAGGTACAACAGAGTGGGCATAGAGATAGATTAGAGTAAGAATTTCAACATTCAGCAGTGTTTGTGCCCTGCAATGACTGTGGCATAAGCCCACCACATCTTAGTTCACTACTCCTAGAAGACCATTAAAAATGGTATAAGGTCTCTGCAACCCTAGGGCAACAGTTCTCAAACAGTGTTCCCTGAAGACTCTCCTAGTGCCTTCACAGAACAAAACATTCTGCGAATCAAGCTCTGGGATATGGGATGCTGGATAGATCCAAGAAAATGGCCCTGTTTTATCTGGCTTACAACCCTTGAACCATGCCTCTGACCAGCCTTCTGGATGTGTGCATGAATTGCCATAGTTAAGCACCCTGCGCCTTGTTTACACTGCAAGATTCCATTACTGTCTGAGAAGCTGGACCACTACAATGACATTCATAAAGAAAAATCAGTAGAAGTGCTACATACAACATGGGGACCACAGGTGGCGCCTACACAGTTTTTGCAGAAATTCTCCCACCACTGGGTTGGCTCCGCGTTAGCACTGTAATATACACTGTGGCTGTGTCTAGACTGGCAAGTTTTTCCGCAAAATCAAATGATTTTGCAGAAAAACTTGCCAGCTTTCTACACTGGCCGCTTGAATTTCCGGAAAAGCACTGACGATCTCATGTAAAATCATCAGTGCTTTTCCGGAAATACTATGCTGCTCCCGTTTGGGCAAAAACGATGTCACATTTGCCATTTTGTCTTTTTCCAAAAGACTTTTGTGCAAAGGGGCCAGTGTAGACATCATAGTACTGTTTTCCGCAAAAAAGCCCCGATTGCGAAAACGGCGATCAGGGCTTTTTTGCGGAAAACCACGTCTAGATTGGACACGGATGCTTTTCCGCAAAAAGTGCTTTTGCGGAAAAGCATCCTGCCAATCTAGACGCGATTTTTCCGAAAATGCTTTTAACAGAAAACTTTTCCATTAAAAGCATTTCCGGAAAATCATGCCAGTGTAGACGTAGCCTGTGTGTGGAAGACAGACAAATGCAAATGCACGACCAGTCTAAATTAGTGGTTTCCCCATGGCTACGTGAAAATTCTCTGCGGAGGTCAGTGAGTATCTGAGTGTGTTCCTGTGCCTAGACCTATTCTTTCACCAGTGTCCTCTCCTTGCAAGAACAAGATCCGGAAGAACTGTACAAGAAGATATTCTCTCCCTCAAGTGTCAAAACTACTGTGATGATCTATTTAAAGATGAAATCAAATCTACATTTCATACTCGAAGGCAACTCTGGCACGTTGAAGTCAGCTTGGTGGTTTTGGAGTGGCTAGAGAACATTGTGAAAGACGAGGGAACGTTAATCCTCTATCCTACCCCACCCCCAGAGACTCACCCGGTCTGCCATGCTACGATGTGGTGGGGACTGCTTGGTGGTGTAGCTGCTAGCTCACTCGATGGTGTTGAACTCCTCTGGCTGTGAGGTAAGGCAGCTAAAATTGAGGGGAAAAACAGCCAGTGAGAAAAGGAGACCAGGGATAAGGAATTCCAGCGCCGTCAGCTCACTGGAGCAGGAGCTAGATATCGAGGTGTGACTAAACACAGCCCAGGAGTTGGAACGTCACTCTTACATATGGCTCTTTGCACATACACCCTGAGCAGCACAGCTGCTGTGAGACTGGCCAGCATACTCCTAATTCCCTCTGCTGCACGCACATGACTGGCTCTGTGCTCAGATGTCTGGGGAAAATTTTGTCCCAACCCAACCTCCAACTGTGTAAGATTATATGGGCTGAAGACCCTTTCCCATCTACCAAACTCACTGCAACCAAGAATGGGAAATAGTCCTTCAAACCATGAAAACAAACCAATGTTTTATTGCCACTTGAACCCTCAGCACCCTAGAGCCAGAGCAGTGGATGTGCCACTGTCCCTTCACATGAAGGAAATGACGGTGCAGAGCCAACCTTCACAGACAACTGTGGGACTATAAGGAATCCTGGCCTAGTAAAATATAGGGGCTGCTAGCTGGACACGTATAACATTTGCTGTAGAAAACCCAGCGACCAAAGATGTTCTTTTAAATTTGGCTGCGGTGAACACGAGCATGGATCCCAATGTGGGTTGATCTTACTTAGTTTTATATTAATGACATTAAAATACCTAGACACTGTAAAGTAGCAGTAGTGGTTTTACAAGGGCATTTCTGCTTTAAGGGTCTATTAGGGTGTGTCTAGACTACAGGGTTTTGTCGACAAAAGTGGACTTTAGTCAACGAACTATACCTGCGTCTACACTGCTGCTGAGTTCTGTTGACATAACGTCAACAGAACTCTGTTGTTTTGTCGACTGCTGTAAACCTCATTCAACAAGGAATAACGCCTTTTGTCGACAAGAGTTCTGTCAACAGAAGGCGTTATTGCATCTACACCGTCCTTTGCATCTACACTGTCATGTCGACAAAGCGGCTTGCTTTGTTGACAGAACTGGATGTAGTCTAGACACTCTTTGCCGCCAGAAGCTTTGTCGACAACTTCTGTCGAGAAAAGCCTGTAGTCTAGACGTACCCTTTTTATATGAGCAAACCCATTCACAAACTTTTGGCAGACTGGAAACCTTTTATTTGCATATTCATTATACAAAGGGGCTCAAACCCAGCCCCTTGCTCTCCAGTGCCTCCCACCCTTGCCCCCGGGGCCCTTTGATCCTTTAACACCTGACCCCATGGGCTCAATCTTTTTGTCATTCCATCCCAGTACTCAGATCCCTGGAACAGAGACCTCTCCAAATCAGACATACGCTCCGGAGCACAATCATCTCTGAAGGACACTGAGGGCCAATAACCACTTTAGAGCAATGGCTAGTAAAATGATCGAGGCGTTTCATTAGCATTCTCCCACAGGCTGTTAAATTCTTTAACAGCAATTAAATGACATGCAAAAAGAAGAGAAAAGCAAAGTCTAATCTGTTCCTTACAAGTGAAGGCCCCTGGGGTCATTATTATCCCATCATCACAACTGGGCTCCAGCTTTTAAAACAAGGGTTGGTCCATATTGGCACGGTCTGTGAAAGTGATTTACATTTGGGGCAACTAACCACTGAGACGATGTTTGGTTTTATCATCAGTGTTTTCCTTCTAAGATGCCTCATCTAACTGAACCGATAGGAGTCTCTACAGCTCAAAAGAACAAGCATGTTAATGACGGTTTAGGTACTTACTGCTTCTGTTTGGGGTAGAACTGCCAAAGCGATGCTGAACTTTCCATCAAAAAGGGGCTACATACAAGTTTGCAGCACAAGAGAGCTGGTGCGGCTCAGGTGAGTGGGAATGGACTGTAGCCTTTTTACCATCAAATCAGCTCAGACAAACCCAGCCCAGGGTTCCTCATGAATGAACGTTGTCGGCTGCTCAGTGCTCTGAGGGTCAGCAGTTCAGCTCTCAGTAGCAAAGAGCACCACTTTATGAGCAGGGCTTGACAAATAATACAATCTACCCACCCGTGGCGAGTAGACTGCAACCTGGAAGAGCCAGGTTCGGGCAATCTGCGCATGTGCAGATTGCCGGACACTACGGCTGGCGAGCAGGGCTTGCTGTGGTTCGGCGAGCCCTGTTTATAAGCATCACCACTAATTGTCACCCTTGATGGCAATCGCAACAGAGGCGCCCAGGGTGAGCAGGCCATGAGGTGGTGTCCTCAGGTCAAGGCTGAGGCACATGGGTAGGAGTGAAATGAGGGAAGCTTGTCAACGTGCTGCCCATGCAGTAGCAACAGCTGCCAATCAATCACTCCCTCGCTCTTGCAGCGTTGGGTTAGATTCATGGGTTCTGGCAAAGCCTCAGGTGAGTCCTTACTGGCATACAGGCTTGCTCAGACGTACTCGAACGAGAGGGGATGGCAAAGATGTATCGAATGTTAAACTAGTTCGTCTCACATCAGGGAAATGTAGCACAATCTCTGTACAGCTGCAAGGCCCTGCTGTTATTCAACAGGAATATTACAGGAGCGGCCAGAGGCCCAAACAGGACGGGGCGCCACTGAATAGGCGCTGTGCAAAGACATGACCCTGACTTTATAAAGCTTACAAGATTCCCCCGGGGGGAAGGGGAGGGGGATCACCTCTAGTGGTTGTACTGAAGGTACTGTATGAATCAAGGATCTCACCCCCTTCAAATAAGTCTTTTTAGTGGGGCCACTTGCTCTTTATTTTAAGGATTTTTTTGGCCATACCCGATATTCTTATGTTCTTAATGGAACACCAGTTAAATGCCTTACTCTTCTATGTATTTACTGGGAAAATCAGGTTCTCGAGTTGTGTTCTGTTGTTCCATATTGCTCACTTTAATGGACCCTGCCCACAGCGACAAACCTAATCAGCTCCCACTAATGGGGTTTCTCTCTGCTACCACTCTACAGGCCAGATCCAAAGCCCATGGAAGTTAATAGAAACATTACCAAGATTTCTGGAGGCTTTGGCTCAGGCTGTGGGGATCTTTCTTCTAGCCCTCTAAAGAAGTCGTTCACAACAAATGAGCCCTAGGAAAAACTCTCATCTGAGGAGACACAGTGATAACGTTCACGCTGTGCTAAACCCACCACCCTACATCCTGGCGCTGGACATTGGGCTGTTTACACAGGCTGCTCTGATTTAATTCATTAATTACCAAAATGCAAACGCACTGCAGTCATTAAACAGGTGAGCACCAGCTTGGATGTGCTGCCCCTTGGGTGGCCTCTCACCTGATGTTGCTTTACACATTTGAGGCATCCTCGTTACCCTGCTGTGCGCCACAAAGGTGCTCTGAGAAGATGTGCTGTACTGGGAGCTGCTGTCCGAGGAGGTGGAGCTCGTGTGCGACAGGCGGCTGTGCTCCTTGTGGGAGGCTGTGGACCGCTGGTACCACAGCCGGAGTTCGTCTGATACGGCAGTCCTGCCCGAGCCCTTCTCATGGCCCTCTCTGCCCAGAGATGGAGTCCTTATGATCTGAGAACGGGAAGGGGTCAGTCTTACAGAGTCTACTTCGTCCCCGTGCCAGTTCTCTTTAAACATTCCCCCTGCCGTGTAGGAGTTGGAGGTTTTGAATTGTGCTTTCACACTGTAGTGTCCCTCCTGGTCGTTCTCCAGGCTGCGTACCACTACGGGCGTGGAGCTGCCTTCGATGTACAGGGGGTACTCTTTGATCCTGTACTGAGAGGAAGGCTGGCTCTGGCTGTGCAGATAGACGCCGTGATGCCCCGTTCCGTTCCGTGCGGCCAGGTTGGGCATGCTCCCTGAATTAGAGGAGACCAGGTTTCCCGCAGATTTGTGCCTTTGCCTCTGCCGCTCTCTGGCTTTCGAGGGGGAATCCTCGGCCAGGGTGGAGTAGTTGGGGTTCATCTGAGCGGGGTAGTAGTGCTCAGAGCTGGAGTGGCTGGTGCAGGAAGAGCAGTCATCCATGGGGTCAGAGCCATTACTGCTACGAGTCCTTGGGGTGTAGAAATCGGGGCTCCCCGTCTCATTCTCTGACCCAAGGAGCTTGCCTTGGGACTCTAAGCTGGAGCTCCTGTGTCTAAAGTGCTGAGCTAAACTGTGGAGTCTGGTCGGGCTGATGTCTACTGACCTGCAGGTGTCAGGAAGAAAGGGGTTAGGTCTGCGTGGTTAACAAAGCACATAGGGTCTTGTTTGAACACTTCATGCCAACGCAGCATGTTCCAATCAGCGCGGACACACACAGCTACAGCCCGAGAGGTGCTGGGTGCTCCCAACTCCCACCAATTCCAAGCAGGCATATTACTGCAGGAACTGCAGCTGGTACACCCATCTGGGGTGAACGTCCCACATCCCTGCCCAAAGCCCCAGCCAGTGGGCTTTATGGAGGAAACCTAAGCAGCGGGATGGGCTTGGGCCTCCACAGGCAGCTTGTGGGGCTGCAGCTCTGATTGCTGTAGATTGAAAATCGCAGCCAACTCCCCTCCCACATTCCTTGTGTGGGAATTTGGGGCCACTAGGTGCAAATACTAAGGATGCTCTGGCTCCTCCCCAGCCTATCTGGAGTCAGTAAGGCACCCTGTTTCTGCGGCACCCGGGGGGGCACGGAGGCCTTACAACACGGCTTTCCACTAGCCGCCTCCCTAGGCAATCCCAGCTATTGGGCACAAGAGGTGCAAAGGGCACCGTCCGCGGGGGAGCTGTCGATCTGTGCAAACCCTGCCTCTGGTTTCTGTTCTTCGGCTGCTGTGCCCCTTCCCTGCTGCTTTGCATGTGAGGTGCACGGCCCGTGCTGTCAAGTAGCTTTGAAAGCTCTGCAGGCCTTTCCTCATGCTTACTGTGAAACTGGGGCATGGAGGGTGGCTTATGCAGCACCCTTCCCTCCTCCTCCTTCCCCCCTGAGTGACTCTTGTTTGCTCCTCCTTCATCTGAAGAAACCCCTTTATTAAATCAGCTACACTTTGCTGGTCTCTTGATTGGCTTTTGGGCTTAAGAGTGTCACAATGTGACTGTCCTTCATGCGAGCACCTGAGTTTGCATGTGTAGAAGGGTGTTTACTCTTGCCCACACCGGTGTGGTCTTTACGCTGAATAGGCTCATCCCCTTAAAAAGTTTGTCAGCCACTCAAGGAACAGAAACGAAACCATGTGACCAATTAGTCCCACCTCTACTTGGTCCCACGGCCTTTCTGCATACATAGTTCACTGCTGCAGCAGTGTAACACTACCCAACCTTTCGTATCCCAAACGGGAAGGGTAATTCCCTAACCTTGCACTTCACTTGAACGCTGCTATTAACCCCTTGTCGCTTTCAAAGAGGGGCTTGGCGGTTGTAATGCCCATGAACGGTCAGAACCTTTGTAGAACACCCACAGGACTTAGTTTTTATTTGAAGGAACTAAAATTGACTAAGCAGAGGATTCAAGCCCTGATTCAGGAACGAATCCCCACTGAGGACAGACCTCCTGAATCCAGGCCTCTGTCTCTGAAGTATGACAACAACAAATACTTGTGCAGCAACGAAGTGAGGCAAGTTGTTCTGGGAGCGGCAGGACTTACCTAGTGGAATGGACATAATGCGGACTGCGTACCCGTAGATCTGGTGTAGATGGCATGGTGGACTGGGAGTTCCAATGCGGGAGGCTCCTGATGGGGCTATTTTGCAGGGAGTTGCTCCCTCCAGCCTCTGCACAGCTTCCTGTGCTGGGGAACCGCTTGTGACTGCTGCAAAGCAAACGCTGCGTTTCACGCATCAGACAGAAATGCTCTGCACCCAGGCGTTTGAGTCTGTGGGACAAATTCAGGTCTCAGCTACACACAAGCCGATCCTGCTGCAGTGAATGGAGTGCCACGCACACAGCTGGTCTGAATTGCTTTTTGCAGTATCAACTGTTCAAACACAAGCGCAGCAGACGTATCAGTGAGAGGCTGTTGTCCGTCCTCTCCAGTTAGCTTTTAAAATGATCCGATATGGGCCAGCACTTGTGTGGTTATAGCTACTACTATCGTCTGTGGTGTAAGGATTTACCAAAAGAGCTAAATAGCATTCGAGTGAGTCTATCTGTGCTGTGAGATCAGGGATGCGCTTTTGTTATGTAGCTCAGGTTAAAGGCAGCCTCTCCACCATATACGCCATTACCAGAAAAACCGCCCTTACCGTACCAAATGGGCATCCTCAAAAGGGAGGATGTTTGTGTAGCCGGTGTTCTCTGAGTGTCTGACTCACCTGGAGTGACTGTGTGAGGATCGTTTCTTGACCTTTTCGTAGGGTTCGTCCAGGGATGACTCGCTCCACATCTTGGGCTTGATAGGGGACTTGTCATAGTCATTCCGGTGGTAGTGCATTTGTCTTAGTCCTTCCAAGGACTGTGGAGGCGGGGGTCTGTTATGCAGGGGCGGCCGGGGCGGGAGTCCTTTGTGAGGTGACTGTAAGGGGGATATTGTGCTGGTAACCTGAGAATCCTCTGCAAAGAGAAACAAGGAGAGCAGCTGATGCTTTTGAAGGACACCCAGCTGCAGTGTGGCTTTCCCCCAGCATACCCAAGATCACCACTTGGCTACAATGCGTCAGAGACACTTTTCCAGTGCATGCATTATATGGTAATGAACTTAGGGCCTGATTTTCAGAAGAGCTTCTGCTGACGCTCTAGGTCAGTGTTTCTCAACTGGAAGGGTGGTCATGTGCAGTAATAGAAGTTTCGATCCAAAGTAAAGAAAATAAAACTCGTCCAGATCCATGTGCGTTAGAGCTCTGCTGCTTTCATGTTTGTGCTGGCAAACTTTTTCACACACACACACCCCCACTCTTCCCCCACCCTTCTGCACACCCTTCCCCCACTTCAAGGTCAAGGATTCGCTGTCAACCTCCTGAAAAACATACCCCAGTTAAACAGGCTCCTTCCTCCAGCCTATGTATCTTGTGGGTTCAGTTACCGTGAAAAAGTAAAAAATGTAAGAGGGAGGGTTGCACATAAAATTTTGGTCTTTGACTCAGGGGTCCCTGATCTGCAACAGTTGAGCTACATTTCCTTAGTGCAACTTAATAAAGGAATCCCAGGGTGATATTCTAAAGTCTGTGTTACGTAGGAGGTCAACAAAGCATCCTATTGGTCCTTTCTGGTCTGAATAATCTATAAAATAGGGGGAGCTCTGACGCTCAACATCCCTGAAAATCAGGCCCTTTAGTGTGAGTCATATGCCATATACAACTAATTTGGGTGTCTTAGGGGGTTGTGGAATTATTACAATCTCTATGAGCCTTTTCCTACAGAGTACACACTTATTTCTGCATCTGTATTTTATACATATAACTGACAAAACTTTCAGAGAGGTTGATGGAAGATGGTTGGTGTCTGAAATTGTTATCTGAAATGGCAACGGTGGTGGTGTTCTAACTGTGCTGGCCCCAGGATATTAGACAGACAAAGGGGGTGAGGTAATATCTTTTATTGGGCCAACTTCCATTGCTGAGAGAGACAAGCTTCCCAGCCTACACAGAGGAAGAGCTCTGGGTAAGCTTGAAAGCTTGTCTCTCTTGCCAAGAGAAGTTGGGTCAATAAACCATATTACTGTACCTGCCCTGTGTGTCTGTGAAATGAACCAGGCATGCTGCATACTGGGGATCTCCTCCGTTTTCAAGGGGATGCAGATGTCCTACTTCCCTTTACCATGCTAGGTTTCTAAGGTCTGAAATGGACAACGTACCGTCCTCAAGAACAAGGGCATCTGAGAGGGAGCTATCCTCACTGGCGATGTTTCCTTCTGAGGAGGAGAACAAAAATAATTAAAGGGTTGTTTGTATCTCAGTGGCTCCACATTGAATCTCCACAGAATCTTCCCCCGTTCATAGAATACAGTCGCCCCTTGCTCTCCACACTGCCAAGAAGCAGCACGATTTCTATGAATACAGGCCAGCTTACGCAGTCCTTACTCAGGCAACGCAGAAGAAAGACTGAGTGAAAACTCTAGGCTGGCTCCCTTGACATGCTCAGCTTCCTCTTGGCAGTTGCAGAGTGCCTCCAACTCCCATTTCAGTGGGTAGTAGCACTGAGTCAAAACCGAGAGTTCAAATCCCCAGAGTGTAAAATGACATAACTCCATTAAAGTCAATGGAGGATCAGGCCATAGTGGCCTCAGGATTTGACCCCCTCAATCCTTATAAAGTTACCATTTGGTTGCCAAATAAAAACAAATGCAAGATGCTATGATTGTACAATACTGCGAGCGCCCTCTGACGCAACAAAGGAACCAGCACCCCACTCCTTTTGCCAGAAGTGTTCTGACATACACATCTCCCTGGTATTTGCATCTGTGGCTTGACATGCCCTGCCAGTGAGCGGACAGGAACTCAAAATGCTTTCAGGGCAGCAAAATGCAGCTGGGCTACAAATAAGGAAGCGAGAGAAGGGCTGATAATCTCAGCTCTGGTTTATAAACAGGAAGAGAAAAATCTCTGCTTGGCGCATGGAAAGGGACGGGGACTCTGTTTTCAGGCTTTGAAGGAGGTTACTAGAAATTACTTTTAAAAAATTGTGTAAACCATAGCAAGCGTCCCCAGGAGTCTGCTTCTGTAAACAAACGTGATGCTGATGATAATTACGACTACGTTTCAATCACGGGTAGTTTTAGTAAAAAAAGTCATGAACAGGCCATGGACAGCAAACAAAAAGTCACAGCTCATGACCGGTCCGTGACTTATACCATATACCCTTGATTAAAACGTGGGTACTGTGGGGCAGCCCAGAGCTCTTTGAGGCGGATGCACAGCCCAAAACTTCTGGTGGTGCTGGGAAGGGGGGGGGGGTAATCTGGCAGGCTCCCCATCTGGCTCCTGGAAATGGCCACCCAGAGCACAGGCTTCATAGCTCCCATTGGCTGGGAACTGCGGCCAATGGGAGCCATGGGGGCAGCACCTCCGGGCAGAGGCAGCATGCAGAGCTGATGGACATGTTGCCACTTCTGGAGGAGCCTCCCCTCCCACTACTGAGATGTGCGCTGCCCAGAGCCATCACCTCCACCTGCATCCCAATCCCCTGCCTCAGCCCTGAGCTCCCTCTTACACCCAAACTCTAGCTATTGCTGGTGGACAGGGGAGCGTGGTGGTGCTGAAGTCACGGAGGTCCCAGAAAGTGTCAGAATCCACTGGATTTAATATAATGTCTCTTGGCCAAGGATCTTAAGCAGCTTTACTAATATTAACTAAGCTGGCAAAAGTATTGCTAAACCCATTTTACAGGTGGGTACACTGAACCGTAGACGGGTTAAGGGCCTTGATTATGTGCACATAGCCTGAAATTTACCCATGTGCTCTGAGCCAGCACAGCATCTCGGCACCACTCAAGTCCCATGCCAGCCAGAGATGGTAAAATACACAGACTCAGAGTCCAGTAGAGGGAGAGGAGCATTACTGAGCTACACGCTAGACCAGGGCTTTGGGCATCAGGACTCCTGGGTCCTATTCCTACTTCTTGCTCAGTGGGGGTGAAATTCACTCCTTGTGTCGAGGCCTTAGAGCTAAGCACCAGGCCCCGACGCGCCCTTACCGTCTATGATCAGGGAGGCTCTCTGAGTTGGCTTCTTTCCAGATTTGATGCGGTACTCGTTGATGGCGTTTTCAATCTCCTGCAGTTTCTTTAGGGCATTGAGATAGGAGGTTTTCCTTTGTTTCTTCAGCTTTTTGCTGACGTTGGGGTCACTGGCCAGGCGCCGAGCAGCCTCAGTGATCTGCGACTGAATTGCAAATTCCCTCTCCAGGCGCTCCAGCTCGGCTTCCTGTCAAATTGAGAAGAGATTCTGGCCGTCACAGCTTCACGGTCAGATCCTCAACAGGTGTAGCTGCATGGCAAAGGTCTGCTGACTTCAACAGGTCTATGTCTCTTTACCCCAGCTAGGGATCTGGCCCTACCTGGCATTTAACAGAGACGAGTCCATCTACCGATCTGCTCCTAGCTCAACCACAAGTGCATTATCAGGGCCAGTCTGTGCATCTGCTTCTCAAGCGCGTGAGCACCTGATCGCACATGTGAACTCATGATTTCACAGGGCTGCACAAGGAAAGGGTGCACAATCCAGGCATTATTTTGTGACGCTCGTCAGCACTAGTGCATTCTGGAAGCTGATCTGATATGGCTGTGTCTGCTATTTGCCTTGCAGGAAAACACTCATGTATCCCTGTATAGTGATGTGTGTAAATCCCAACATCTCCCACATGTGTTGCTAAGGTGTCTGTCACCATGGTGACCGAGTGCTGTATGAAAATGAAACATCAGGATGTTGCACTGATAAGTCTAAGGGGAAAGGCATGACATTTCAGTGTAGTATTACTGGTTAGCACTTGCATAACACTGGTACAGAGCCGATCACCCACTGAATAACTGTCAAATTCATCCTGGTTACAGTCCAACCCTACCAAAGGTCATTAATGTGAGGCAATACATAAACATACGATGACACAACATTAGCATGAAACTTCACAGAGGTGTGATATAAGAGGCCATGCATGATGTAATGATTTCAACAGAAGGCGCTGACCAGGCCAGAAAGCCAGGAAGTTAGACCCTATTTGGCCACTGCAGAGTTAAACTATGCTTAAAGCAGGGATAACAGAGTTAGGGCCAGGTTCCGAGCTGGCGTAACTGGCATTGATACTCTACCATTAAGTCAATGGAGCTATGCCAATTTACCCCAGCAGAGAATCCAACTCTTTGCTTATAGCCCATGAGGATGAGAACATGGGCTGGAATTTTCAGAAAGGTGAAGTTCTCTTACACACCCAAGTCCTATTTACTTTCAGTGGATTTGAGCCGCAAATTAAAACATTAGCTTTGCTGGATGGTCAGTGCTCAGACTGCAAGCCCTTGTAGCCACATATTCAGTGACACCTTATTTGTTTTCTGTATTCAAGTCCTCTCAGTTTACCAACCTGCATATACACAGCGGTTGATGCTATAGGAGTTAATCCCTCCTCAGGTCAGGATGGCTCTCTCAAGATTTCATTTTGGGCATCTTGGCTTCAAAATCCCTCTGCTGTCAGTGGTGAGTCAGCATTGCTTTAAATCTATAATTACAGCTCCTCTCACATTATTGCCAGATGAAGGCCTGGTTTTGTTTTGTAAAATGAGGTTTTGCTTTGAAGATTTTATAAGCTCTGTCAACACTAAACTTATTAACGGTGCATTCAACACAATGGACATTTAAGACAGAGAGCCCGATCTGACTTTTTCTTGCAAAACACCCACTGAAAGTAAGCAAGGGCGGGTTAAGGTTATCTAATCATGGTTAAAAATAAAGGCAGCAAGGGCTCAGCCCTGCAGTTCTTATTCAGACAACACTCACAGTGAAGATACTGATTTTTTTCCCAAAATCAGCCTTCACATCATCAACAGCTGTCTTCATTTGTCTGTCTCCCATTCATCTTTTTTCTGATGGACGCCGTTATGCATATTGCCTTGGAGTACCAGGGCCATTCATTTGCCTTCAGATGGAGCCCTGCCTTGGTGCCAACTCTCGTGACAATTTGAAGTTTTACTTAAAGTTCCAGTTCCTAAAATCAAGTGATCCTGAGAGAATCTCAACTTTCATTAAAAAAAAAAAAGTTTGTAGCCTTCATAGTTGCAGAGCAAGGCTTGAAAATGTGAACTCTAGAGGCTCAAAAATCAGAACACAAATAAAGAGATCATCTCATGATTTTGAGGGACCTGACGCAGCATTTTTGAATGCTTGAGGATAGGAATCCTGTGTTACCAAAATGAACATTATTCACAAAGGCAGAGAGGGGCTTTAACCTCTTTCGCTATAGAAAAGAGCCATTCTCTTGCACACATGGACTATGCATCACTATTAGGAAAAGCACAGAGAGGAAAACAGACTCCATCCAGTGTCCCTGCCTGGAAGCCTTCTCTGAAACACTAAGGCAACGTCTACACTGGCAGCAGCGTGTAGCATTCATGTAGCTACATGCTGCACTGAAAGACAGGCTGGCCCACACTGCAGTGTGCTACACGCATTAGTGAAACGCTTTGGTAAGGGGAGGCAGTGGGGAAGGCTTCATCGACTGCCGGCTGGACGAACTCCAGCAGCGGGGAGCCTTAGTCGTTCTGTGCTGCTAGAGCTTTTACTCATAGTGGGGAAAGGCTTCGGTGGTGGGATACTACATGGCTACAATAGCAGTGTAGACGGGGAGGCAGGGCTTGGACGAGTAGTGAGCTGGGTAAGGTATACCCTTGGGTACATATCACCCCCTTCAGGTGTGTCTTTACTCTCCTAAGCTGTGACTCTCAGTCTAGCCTGCTACCTGCACTGGGGAGCTACACGCATATGTACAGTACATGCCACCAAAAGAGGTGTGCTTTGTAGATACAGCCCAAGACACAGGAATTTGAAGCACTGCAGCACACAGTGGGCAGAGTTTTCGGGAGTCAGTGCTTTCCTTGTAAAAGCTAATTAAAATGTGCTAGCTCATGAGTCGGTTACTTCAGTAGAATATCTCTCCCTGGCTCCTCAAACACAAACCCCAAGAGCTTTGGTTGTTCATGTTATGAGCAGAAAGAAAATGCTAACAATATAGTAAAGGGTTAATTCTCCAGCTGACTCCAACCTTCCACTAAAGATTCATTTTCTTCTATTATAAAAATAAAAGGAAACTCAAAACTAGACTATCCACAGGTGTCTTGAGACCAGTCTCCACAGACAATGGCTTTTCTGTGAATTCCGGTCCCGCCTTACAGCTGCTCTGGGGCTGTTTTCACAGCCATGGTTCAGGGCACTGACCCAGCCAACTGTGGGAGAGAGAGCACAGAACAAATGCTCCCAGGCACACTTACACAAACACAAGACAAGCTGCCCAGAGGCAGGGAGGATGGCTCCTTTGTTTAGGAGTGGGGAGTAAAGTGTATTTGTCTTGCAATCACAGGACCAGTTGGAAGAATTGACCTGACACTTTATAAAAGGACTTTGGAGGAAACTCTACCTGGCCAATTTTAGTACTGTGTAAGAACTACTGCAGGAAGGGAGGGAGAAGAGCTACGAATACTCAAAAAATACCAGAAGTGGTTCGAAAGCCTGGAGTAACTCGGAACTCAGTCCCATGAGTAGTTTAGACCTGCACCAGCAATGTCATTCAGCTATTGGTCTGATTAAGGACAGCTTGCACAGTTAGCAAGATTAGAGCCGTAAGCAACTCACCAAAAGCTACTTTTTTATTCCTGTGTCAGAGCTAGGGCAGGAACTCAGTTCCTGGCTCCCAGTCCTATGCTCAGACCAGCATCTTCTCTCACCCCTTCCTTACCCCAAATACGAGCAAAGAAAGAAAGAAATTAGTAAGTTCAATTAAAAGTGGTGGTCTCTGAGTAATACGCTGAGGGGTGTCCTAGACAAATGATAGATAAATTAGACAGGACTGGAAGGCAAGTCCTCACCTCTCCTTTTGGCAGTATTTTCTGTTCATCCAGTTTAAAGGCAGTCCCTATTCTTCGCCTTACCATTGGTGGCTCCTCCCCTGGATCTAGGGGGTATTCCCTTGGCAGCTTTCCCGTGAGCTCCTGAAAACATAAGGTGCGATTAGTGAGAAGGGGAATATGCAAAAGCAAACTCATCCCGGGTAGAGTCTGAAAAATGATTGTAAAAATAGCATTGCAGGGTTCCATTGTATATCATCTTTCAGTGACCCCGAATCAACTGATAAATATGCAGATTTTTCTAACTTCCAGGCCTGTGAACTCAGCCTATGCTCTGAAAGTCAAGCGAAGTCAAACAGGAATATATATTCTGCAACTAGAAGAAAAATTAACAATACTGTTAATGATCTGCCAGGCTAGGTACTGCCCATCAGCGGGATGTCACAGCATGATGCATGAGCCAGATCGGATGCCCCCCCCCACATTCCTTCAGCAGTGCTGTCACTGTGGAGAAACCAGTAAGGAAAACAAGTTTCCAAAGTTATTTGGTGACCGAGAAGCCAGCAGACCTGGCTCTGAATTCACACAGGGAGCGAAACTGTCAAGGGCCACTTTTACAGTAATTTTTTCTGATCCATAACTGCATGTTAAAATACTAATCTAATTCCTGATTGGTCTAAGATCGCTGCAGTGAAAACGCTGTTGAAAACAGTGGCTGGTGCCCAAGTACCTGTTGGATAACTTTTTACTAACTGAAATCTGTGCCAAACTCCAGGCTATGTCATGTGCCGTTTTGGAGCAGTATCAGACTTAAAGGGTCATTTGCAAAGATTAGTTCCACGTGTGAAGCCGACCCTGCACACTTTCAGAGCCAAGGGACGTGCGCAGGGATAGATTTGAAGCATGCAGAGGAGCAAGTGCCAGAATTGATGCTAACCCTGTGTTTTTTCTGGTTCCTACAAAACATCTACACAGACCTGAATTAAAGGCATCCAAATGCCTGCAGAGAAAGGCAAGAGTGTTGCTACAAGGAACAACCCAGCTTCTTGAGCTGAACAGTCTCTGCCTAAGGACAAAAGGCTTTTGTGTTCTGCAGCACCAGCCTTGAGAGGATCCAGCTGGCCGAAAAGCCTAAATCATCTGAATCCCATAGAACAGTGGCTGACCTTAATGTGCAGCATGTAGCTCAGCTCCCTGCCTCCTTCATGCCCGCACGACCCATGCCCCAATGGGGGCTTTCTTTCTACTGTTTTCAGGTCACGGGGAAATGAGGCCCTGGTGATTTCAGTCCTTTGCTTAAGCAGTTCCCAACACAATGAATTCCTAACCCAGTGTTGCACTGAACTGCACAAAATGCCCTTAGCAAAGGTTGTTTAAATGCTTCCCCCTCCAGCATGGCTGTTTTAGATCTTTTTGTGTAACGTGTTTATCCTATGGCACAAAATGGCTGGCTGCAAAGAGTGTGGTGAGATACGGATACTGGAGTTTTCTACTGAGCATCAGAGTGGTCCTTTATAACCCCAATCGTAACATGAAGCATGGAGGGGGGAGGGGAGAGAGTTATACCTTTAATGGCTCCTTTGCCAAGACTCCTGAATACCCACAGTTTTGTAAGAATAAAATCCACATGGGCAACTGTGCTGCCACCATAAGCTGAAAAGGATTTACAGGTAAGGCCTGAAATCTAATCTGAATTAATAAATAACGGAAGTAATGGCTGTTGCAAATGGTTTGGACCATGCTAGTTTGATTAAGCCCATGTGTTATCCCCTCCCCCTCCCAATTTATGTTCCTCTGCCTCATTCTAACACAGCAATTCCCACAGCCAACAAACCGATTCAGGACCACCCGAGAGGAAACGCTTAAAATAAAAGAGCCAGTGAAACTTTTGACCACTTTCTGCAGCTGGTCCAAGCTAAATGGTTTATGGGCACTTGGGGTCTGACCTGATTCTGAAAACATCACTCACAAAAGTAGGCCCTTCAAAGCCAATTGCGACTTCTTCCCTCAGGATTGCTCATGAGAGGAAGGGTTGTGGGATGAGGCCTGCACATATTTCTTCACATTCTTTGTTGAAAAACTGTTTTTCTCCTAATTATCCCAGCTGGTGTTCATGGCAGAGCCAAGTCCAAACAAAACTCAATGAAATTTTAAAAAATGAGCAGAGGTCTTTTTTCTGTTTGTTTTTTAAAGTGATACACACCTAATGAGCCCAGGACTGTTACCCAAAGGCAGATCTCTCATTCTCTATTCTAGGCAGGGATTTTTGTTAAATCTGGATTTTTCCAGGCCTGGGAAACAGCAAGGGTGTTATGTATGCACGTGTGATTGAAGTGTAAACTTCATATAAGCAGCTGCTAATATTTATTATGTTTTCAGGAACAAACACAGCAAGGATCCTAACTTCTCCAACACTTGAAATGGTTTTACGTTTGTGCTGACCTGCTTTCAAACAATCCAGTTAAAATCAGCCCCAACAATAATTAAACACAGACACATGCCAAGCACAACATGATCTCATCATATGGCAGCCAATTAGCCCCATAATGATGTGTAGGGCAGAGAGGTGATTTTCTCTGGAGAGTGTTAACTAACATTCTTTCTACTAGCGAGTCTGATGATGTAGCCCAGGGACCTCCCCAGCATTTGTCATATTTCATGTAGGCAAGAAGGAAAGATGCTGCAGTACCAGCTCACCCCAACTGTGGTGATTTAACCCATGCACCAGGATTGTGCTGTGACATAGCTGGGAGTTGGCGGAGCATGGAAAGAGAGCACCTAAGACCGTGCCTCCTCTAGGAAAAGAGGCGTGTTAGCTAACACATCTTTCTTCTACCGGAGGTGAGGCCTTAGGGAATATATCAGGCCAGGTGTCCACATCATGGCTAGACCAGATGTGCCATTTATAAGCCTGAACCTATTCCCATTGAAGTCAATTGCCCATTGGGAGCCTTGTTGAAGGACGCGGAGTAGCTAAGCATCCCCAACTCATGACAACTTCAATCGGAGCTGCAGATGCTCAGCACCTTGCTGGATCAGGTCTCCTGGGTGCTCAGTTGGCTTGGAATGAGTCCAATTTCTCCAGTGTAAAAAGGGCCTTGAGGCAGCTTTAAACATGAGGAGTCTGGAAGTTACCAAGTCCCTCAGGCACGATGCACTTGGAGAGATACGCTTTAAGAAGGCTTTCGCCTCTCCTTCCAGCCTCCATCACTTTTTCAAATGAGAGCATGAGCATATAAAAACACAAGCCACAATGTTTTCTAGGGTTATAAAATGTCTATTGCCTACCGCTTCTCGGAGACACAGTTTCTTTAGCTCCTCCAGTCGCTGGCGCAGGGTCTCTTCCAGAGCTTCCTGCCTGGATTTCAATGCAGCCAGCATGTCTTTCTTGGCAGACTGAGAGCTATCTGACTCTTGGGAACCTGTCAATAAACAATGATTTCACTAGGCCAGCTGACAGCAGAACACACATCTGGAGCATTAATGAATTTTACCAAAGCCTACACTTTGGATGGGAGCTTTCCAAAGAAGAACCAGACGATGAAATGAAGCAGGTGTTACACAGTCCTGTTTGTTTATGACAAGTTCTTAATGCTTAAGCTAACAGAATGAGGTTAGACATCCGAGTATAAAGATATTCTGTAATTCTCTTCGATGTAAATAAAAACAATCAGGTAATTTTTTAAAGGTCCTCTTGAAAATACTACGTGTAGTTCTGCCCAAAGCTCCCAACAGCAAAGAGATGTTACAAAGCATCGGAAACATATTTTCATAGCTTAAAGGCCAGAAGAGACCACTACTCTGACATGCGGTATAGAATTTCACCCTATGATTGCCACATCTAGCCCAATTACTTGCGGTGGATTCTAACCACTCGGAAGAAATGTAGTAACCAATGCTAGATCTGTGCAAAATAGGAACGAAGTTAAAAAAAACCAGTCGCTAACAGAAGGTCTTTTTGCGGCAGTAGTTGTTTCCCACGGATACATATGCCACGATGTTCAAAACTGGATCCAGAAGTCCATTTTCAAAGGCCTAAGTACGGAGTCTGATTTTCAAGTGACAAGCATGCAGCAGCTTCCACTGATGGCAATGTAAATCCTAATGTGTAGATGACTACACAATTAACCGATAAGCCTGGGCACGAGCACTGGATCCACCTGCCCCCCCCCGATCCACTGCTGCCTCTGAGCGAGAGAGAGAGAGGGGCAGGCTCCGCAGACCCACCTGCCCCCTCACTTGCTACAGAGGCAGTGGGGGGAGGCAGGAGCCACCTCCCCTCCTCACCCCCTGCATTGCGGCCTCTTTCACAGGCAGCAGCGTGGGAGGGAGCGGGTACGGGAGCCTGCTGTGAAGCAGCCTTTGTCCAGGCCAGGCCTGGGCTTGTCAGGGACACAGGCTGCTCCATAGCAGCAGCCCCTCTCTGCAAGGGATCCAAGCTCCACTCGGAGAGGGGATGCTCCACGCTGGGGCAGCCTCTGTCCATGGGGAGCTAGGATCCCCCATGGACAGAGGCTGCTGCCGCTCTATGCTGCTGCCTCTGTATCAGAGGCAACAGCACAGGGTAGCAGGCAGGAGCCAGTCTGTGTGGGGAGCTGGTTTTTAAAACCTAAGGCATCTTAAAGGAGCTTGGTTTTTCAGAAAATGCTGAGCATCCAGCCCCTAAAAATCAGGCCACATCCACCCCCTAAACATTGCCAGGCCACGCCCCCAGCTTTTATTTAGTTCCGCCCGCTGGAGTTCCCAGGGAATTCCCTTCCTGTGCACTTCCCAAGGCAGCAACAGGGTGAGTGGGGCGGCTGGTAGTTGTGGCTGGAGCCAGGACCCCAGTGGCCCCAGTTTCAGCTCCAGCAATTGCTACGTGGCCTGGCTAGCAGGGCAAAGCACTGGGTGAAAAGCAGCTGCCCCAGGTGGTGGGGCCAAGCACCGGGTGGAAAGTGGCTGCTCCAGCAACCCGTTCTCCTCCCCTGCTCAGCAGGAGCCTCCCCCTGGCCTCCAGCTGCTCCCAGCCAGCAGGTACAAGTATTAGCAACTATTCTATTGGGTTTTTAAAAATGTGTGTATGCAGCAGTTTTTCAAACCTTAACCTTCGATTTGTCTGATATACCACAGGCTAAAATTACCATAATGAATATGCAAATATTTCAGTGCTGGTCCACCAACGCTTTTTGAATGAGTTTGCTGGTCGGTGGTATAAAAAAGGTTGGGAACCACTGCTTTAAGGCATCCCGAGTCAAGCACCACTTTCAAATCTAGTCCTGCATACGCTCCAGGACTGACCTGCCATTTCTCCTACAACCGTGTTCTGGTGCTGCCTTGGCCTCTGCAAAGCATGGAGCGCAGAATCGGGCGCTTACGATCTACCTTGGACAGATTTTCCAAGAAGCCTTAACCAAGCCTCAGCTAACATATAAGGGCGAAGAGTATAAGGGCGAAGCTTAGCATGCCGGAGAGTATAAGGGCCTAGAGGTGCACTGTCAGCACTGACCTCCAAGCATGCAGTCACTAATCTTGGTTTGGGTTTGTCCAAAGCTTTGCTGAGCTTCTGCGAACCTTTGACATGACCTTAGGGGCAAATTTATGGTTTTGCATCAAAACCTGATGAAACTCTGGCTTTCAGTTACGTTTTGCTTTACAGTTTCTTTGCTCCTACTTTCCTCTCAGACATTTAAAGCTAAACTGGAAGAGGGACTACCAACTATACTAGAGGGACACGTCCCACACTAGCCCAGTAGAGCTAATGGTGCTTCTCCATTGCTGCTTTCTCTGATTTGCACACAGCACACCACACATCTGTTCTGAACAGTGACCCTCTCCTGTGCAATGTGTGTGACTACAGTGTTTATGGGGAGGTGTTGGAAGTGCAAAACCAGAATGGAGTTCTCTAGCGATCAGCAGGGCTCTAGGAGAGGATGGGTGCCATTTTACAATGTGTCATCAGCAAAAATCAAGACAACTGCATGGGAATGTGGAGAATGTTTATCCAGACGTGAAATTAAGAGCACCAGGCTGATTTCACTTGGGTCTTTTTATAGCCTAAACCATAAATAAGACTCAGGATAACACAGGTTCAAGCCAGAGAAGGACCAGTACTGCAAAAGCGCAACAGGATTTTCCTAGAGGAATTGCCATTTTGTATTGGAGCTGGCAGGGTAAATCCTCTCTCGCGCCTCCCTAATAATAACTGCAGGGAGCTCTTACTGGCAGCCGGTGAACTGCTGAACTCTTCTACTCAACTGCTGATGAACTGGTGACCTTCAACAACAAGCTGTTCATGACTCCTGCAGATGTGCTGCTTTCTTTTTCTTTCAGAGTAACTTGATGGAGCGTGTTTTCCTTTCTCCTTCCTCTCCTCTTCCCACCCAAATTCAATTTATTTTTAAATTGTAGACACATCTGGAACCACCAATCACCACAGCAGCTAGACACATACTTCCATTGCTATTAAAACATACAATATATGCACCACATCCAGCTGAATGCTTGAACTGATGCCTCTAATGATGGGTGTGTCTACACTAGAGAATTAAACTAGCTGTGTGATTGAGCTGGTTGTACTGAACTGATTTAACCACAGTTCATTGTGAGGATTGCCAGGTAGACCCCGCCAAAAAACCGGACACACTTGATCATGGGCGGAGGAGAGGGGGAAGGAACCGGCTGGGAGGGGGGCGGGAAGGCAAGCAGAGCTGGTGGGGGAGGTCCAGGGGCCACGGGGTTAGACG